GATCATAATAATGAGATATTTTTAGAATCAATTGGAAAACTTTATAACGCAGGATTGCAGCCACAGATTGCAAATCTTTATCCGATAGTAGAATTTCCTGTAAGCCGCGGTACCCCAATGATTTCTCCTCTTATAAGGTATGTATATTTTTTAGTTATATATAAATGGATAAATAGCGAAATAACGGAAATTTTTGTAGACTTTAAAACATTAAGTCAATTAATTAATATATAATTAATTAATTATATTAATTAATTTAATTAATTAAAAAAGAAAGTCTCTGGAGTCCTGTGACTGTGCCAATGTTTGATACGTTATGTTGCGCTAAAAAATTGACCGATGTCGACCATCGTGACTGCGTTTAAATGTTTTGTCGACCGTCGTGACTGCGTTACAAATTTTAATTGAGGATTTACGAATTGTGTTGCGCGGAATTTATTGTTATTATCTTACGCTGAAGATGACCAAAAAAAGGGTCAAAACGTCCGTTTCATCGTTTCATATGTATTTAACGACTTAATATACTTTCGTTTCATATGTATGCTTATACTTGGTAAATTTATTGCGCACTGAGTACCGCGCTTGGCTCCCATTGCCTTTCTCACATATTGACAAACAACAACGAACAACATAATATCGAATTAAATCTCTGATTTTTTTCAAACTTTTTATCACTTGATCTTAAAGCCACACTTATTTTTATTGTACCGTACTATATTTATTAGACATTTGTAGAATATTCTATGCATATTCCGAATGGACAAAATTTCATGGAATATTTATGGAACTTCTACAGAATATTCTGAATAACCCGTGGAATATTAAAATATTTATAGATTGTTTATAGCACATTTCTTGCATATTTCATGCTGTATGGGTTATACCTCATGTAGCACAGTGCAGAAGACAATGAACATAATTTTATTAATTTAAGCTAACGTAATAAGTTTATATACCGTGCACATTCTATCCTTGGTTCTGTATTGATACTTGCGATATTCTTTGTATTTACTGCGAAATATTTTCAGTATATATTACGAATTGGAAGAAGGTGGACATAGAAATCTTCTCAGTATGTCCGCAGTAAATTGTAGTATCTATGTATCTCGAATGTTTTGAGAATATACGCAATATACTGCGATATCCTTCGAACATTCTCAGTATCTACATGTGCTGTACGGGAAATGGCTAACTGATAAATGTATTATAGTTTTAATAATATTTGTAGATGGGATCATTCCAAAGATTTCTACGTATTTCGACATAGTGAGCGAAAAATAATTGACACAAGAGAAATACATATCAATATTGATATAACTGATGTGACATTTGTGTATTTAACGGGTCATGTCATTAACGAAAAAAATTTATTTCCGGCTACGGGATATCTTTTCCTTCTTTGGGAGATGATTGCTTCGTTAGAAAAACAAGAATATATTAATGTGCCAGTTGTATTTGAGGACGTTAATTTTATTCGTGCTTCTGTACTAACACAGCATAATATGGTCAACTATACTCTTTCAATCCAAAAAGGTAATATTATTACATAAAAAATTAATTTCCCCAAATAAATATTAAATTTTAAGATGTATTTTTTCTTCTATGTTACGTTTACATGCTAAAATTGCAATCGAGCGTAACTATATAATTGTAAGATATAGAATTTTGTTTACGCATTCACTACATTTGTAAGCTATATACCTATATCTTTGCTGACTGCAGTTTCTTGTTCGTTGAATTTATATAATGTTATCTTTAAAGAATTTATATCTGCATCTAGATAGCAACAGGTTCGAAATAATCGAAAGAGATAGTACTATTGTTACTGGAATAGTACGAATTCCAACCAATATTAAAAATGAAACAATATCTGCTAATCTTGCGGAATATGTCGATGATAAAGAAGAAATGAGTACTAAAGACATCTATAAAGAATTAAAGCTTCGTGGTTATCAATACACCGGCGTATTTCAAGGATTAAAGAGCTCATCGGTTACGGGATCAAACGGTCATATCGCTTGGACATCTAATTGGGTGGCATTTATGGATAATATGTTACAGATGATGATTTTAGGACAGAATTCAAGGAGCCTTTTGGTTCCAACAAGAATTCGCAAACTGACAATCGATCCAAAATATCACATACAGCTAATTCGAGATTATGTGATTGAAGAAAGACGTAAGTATGATTCAATTCAAAAACAATTGTTCTACAAGTGAATATTATTTTTGTGCTATGTTGTAGAATTTTCTGTTCGTTATTATAAGTCTCTAAACGCTGTGATATCTGGAGGAATAGAAATTTGTGGGATTGTGGCTACACCTATACCTCGCCGACAAAAAATAGTTAATACCGTACTTGAAGAATACAAATTTGTTGCTCATCGTGATTTAAGAACTATGTCATTACAAGATGCAATAAGAATGTTAGTGCACATCGCACTCGAATGTTACAATATGACAAAAGTTAAAATTATCGAATTTGTCGATGATAGTGATAAAGTGACACCAGAAGATTTAAATTCTCCAGTTGTTAATGAAATCTTAAATGATTTACCGCAGATTCGACATCACATCAGACTTGTGACGACCTACGACAAATTCTCAAACATCTCTTTACCCAACAACGTTTCTACAACGGAGATTATTAAGTTGTCGAGAGACGAAAATTGTTTGATAGTCATTGGTTTTAATATTTTGACAAAAAATAGCAAAAAATTATATGAACAGTTATTGTCTCTGTTAACGCCGCAAGGTTTTCTACTGACTCTGGAGGAATCCGGTTCGGTCTACGATTATTCATGTCTGAAAACGTATCAGTTGGATGTCATACTGGAGAAACAAATAAATAAAAAGACATTTTTACTATTAAGAAAAACGCGAAATATTGCGAGAAATCAGCGGATTGTACACGTAAACAATTATAAGTTTACGTGGGTAGATGAACTGAAATCAATTATGAGTGGGCAAAACGAAACTGGTGTAGATACGGAGATAATACTTGTTTCGGAAAGAGACTTTGAATGCGGGCTACTCGGTCTTATTAATTGTTTACGAAAAGAACCAGGAGGCGAAATAATTAGAAGCGTATTTATTCAAGATAACAAAGCGCCTGGTTTTTCTTTGCAAGAACCATTGTACATGAAGCAGTTGCAATTGGATCTACCTATCAACATTATACGTTCCGGCAATGTTTGGGGATCATACAGGCATTTGCCATTACCATTGTTGAAATCTAAACTTGTTCAGAGCGCTTACGTTACACAGATGGTGCGTCAAGAAATTCTATTGTAACTTTTATTATATACAATAATATATAATCAATTTTATTTATAACAGGTACAAGGAGATCTAAGTACTCTCTGCTGGGCACAGAGCAGAATGTCTCGCATCAACCATGAAAACCTCGTTGATGTAATTTATACATCTGTAAATTTTAGAGATGTCATGGTAGCGACTGGTAGACTCAACGCTGAAACTATCGCACCGTTCGAACGCGGTAACGATTGTTTTATCGGCATGGAATTCGTTGGCTTTAACACGCATAAGCAAAGAATTATGGGATTATGTTCGCACGGGTAAAATATAGAATATCAATACATATGTGATAGAAAAAACTTTCTGCAGTTGATAATATTAATTTCTTATACTTTATATGAGTGTCATTAATTAGTATTATTAATATTTTAATTTAAGTAATATTAATTTAATTTTTATATCAAATGAAATATATGTAAGAATATGTAAGATATACGTCATTTTAAAATAACGTTTAAATAAATAAATACATTTTCAAAATTTTATATATAGAGGAATGACGAACATTCTCGTGGCTGATAAGTATCTCAGTTGGATTATACCTGACAAATGGACAATGGAAGATGCAGCAACGGTTCCGGTTGTGTATTGTACGTGCTATTATGCATTGTATGTGAGAGGTAAAATGAAAAAAGGGGACAAAGTCTTGATCCCTTCTGGTACTGGAGGTATTGGTCAAGCGGCAATCCATCTTGCGCTTTACGAAGGTTGCGAAGTGTTTACGACAGTTGGAACAGTCGAGAAACGGCAATTTATAAGAGAAACGTTTCCTTCTATTCCCGAAGATCATATCGGAAACTTTCGAGATACAAGCTTTGAACAAATGATTATGCAGCATACAAGAAATTGTGGAGTGGATATCGTATTGAATTCCTTAGCTGAAAAGAAATTGCAGGCATCTGTTTGCTGTTTAGCAAATGGTGGCCGTTTTTTGGAAATTGGAAAATTTGATATGGTTTCCAATAATTCTTTGAACATATCTATCTTTTCCAAAGGTATCAGCTTTTATAGTATTTTATTAGATAAATTATTTTATTCAAACGCAGAACAAAAGTCAAGATTGTGGGCGATAATAACAGAAGGTTTAGAAAATGGCGCTATTAAACCGCTGTGTAGAAAAGTCTTTGAGAGAAATGAAGTAGAAGCAGCCTTTAGATATATGGCCGCTGGAAAACATATCGGCAAGGTATGATTATTTTTTAATACACAGAAATATGTAATTATGATGCAAAATATTCTATCAATTTAAATAAGAAACATTTCTTTTATTTATAATTAATACTGTAAAGATTGTAACAAATGTAGGTTTAGTTAAATTAAATTTCACAAATTTTCTTCATTTATATTAATTAATAGCATTAATTCGGGTAATTCCGGTTTTTACACCGCAAAGGTCAGAAAAAATAGAAGGAATGAACCCATACAGCACAATTGTCTAAAAGCGGGACATAAGACATCTAAAAGACGTCTTTTAGACATCTTTTAGACGTCTTACTAAAAGATGGCTAAAAGACGTCTTATGTCCCGATTTTGGACATGGTACTGTCTGGGAAAGTATTTGCTCGCAATCACTTTGTTATGTGGCTTTATGCTATATTAGTATTGTGTTGTAATGTAATTTCAATTCTTTACTGTTAATATTAACGATACCGTCGTGAGTTGAATCGATTTCTCAATGTAGTAAATATAGCGCAATATATATTGCCGACAATATTACGACCTATATAAAATGAATTGCTGTAGGAAATGTAAAAGTTTTCATAGTTATTTTATGATGCATGTAGAGGGATAATAAAGGATGGAATACAGCAAAATAAAAGTGCATAGCTCTTGTATTCTTTGTTTAGCTTGATATGTTGTATATTCCATCTGTTTGAGATATACGGCATTTTTAGCATGCGGTATTTGTGCCATAGTACAGACACTATGTAAAAATCGGAATCTTCTATGTGTTCTTTTTCTCTTTTTTTTATCGTATAACAATAATCTTTAATCCATCTATTGTTCGTCTATTTTCTTTTTAAAATTTTTCAGTTTTATAATTTATTTATCATTCTTACACTTTAATAAAATTATTATACACATTTTATAACTTATTATGACATTTTATTGCCTTATTTGCAAACATTATTTGTAATTTTTTATAAGGCGTATATTCCACCCATGAATGGTTATGTATCCCACCCCTATAGGATATATGGCAAAAATGCAAGAGTTTGTAAACGTTTTTTTTTTGTTAAATACAAAGAATAAATATTTTATATTTCTTATTTTTTATAGTAGTAGACAATATAAAGTTTTCTATTGATATAATTTATTTGCCTTAAACATAGTAAATAGTACTTGATAAATTATATACTGGAGTTATTCTATTCACTATTTAGGGGAAACCGGAGCAAACTCGACACGATTTTTTTCAAAGGCTATTTTTAACAGCTAATTAAATTTTTTCAAGCAAATTCAATAGTACATATTTAAAGAGTGTTTCTTCAGGTGCAAAATTGCTTCAAAAAGTTTTGTTGCGCGTCGCTTTGTTTTGCCTTCACGAAAGGAAAAGTACCGCGAAGACAAATTTTTAAATTGAAAAATGCCGGGGCAAGTTCGACATTTTTTCTGATCAACACAATTTGATCTGAAACTTATTTTTTTATTGCATGAAAATAAAAATACATTGTTTATCGTAAATTTAGAAAATACACAAATTCGGAATAAAGTAAAACAATCATTGGAAATAATAAGGAAAAAATTGTTGAACTTTCAATTATCTTCTTCTGAACTCATGTCTGAAAAAACAATTAATGCAAGTAAACTCGCGATTGGACGTGCGCATACATTTGTCATGAGCCATACGGCTGCATAACAATCTTCATTTTTTCCTTGTTCAGGCAAGTACAGCTTCTTTCATCATTTCCTTATCTATCGCTGGTTTTTTTCTTTTGTACGTATTAACGAACCATTTTGCTGCAAACCAGAAGCAAATTATTTAACGCTTTATCGAAATGGCTTAGTGTCAACTTTGCCCCTCTGGCGTGATGCATGTTTACTCCGGACGTCGTTTTTGCACTTTTGTCACTCCAAAAACATAAAAATTTTTTAAATATGCAAAAACGATTATCGGATTTGTATAAAGAATCAAATTTCTCATCAAAATCACTTACCTATAGATTCGTAAGAGTAAAACTTGATGACAGAGTAGAAATTTTTAAGAGATCAGAAAAATATCAAGCAATCTAACTTAATTTATAAAATTAACTGCGGAAATTGCGATGCCACGTACATTGGCCAAACCAAAAGACATCTTGAAACACGCATTAAAGAGCATAGAGCGGATATCAAGAAGCATGTCAGCAACCATTCCGTTGTCAGTAAGCATCGTACCTCTTTCGATCACGAATTCGAATGGCATAAAACAGAGATATTACATTGCAAAAAACAAATTAGAAAACGCGAGATTGCAGAAATGTTTTTCATAAAACAAAATAACAACACAATCAACCTACAGAAAGACACGGATAATTTGACCGGGGCATATGATATAATAATAAAAAACATTTAACGTCGATTGTGATCAGTGTGCCTTTGTCACCCGTGGACTGCTGACATGCTTTTCCCACGTTTACCACGGTTTTTACATATGACGCGCAAACTTGTAAGTTATTTAAACTTGTCAATTTATATTTTATATTTTTCTTTTTATATTTTTTCATCATTTTAGTTCTGTTAATTTTTATTTTATATTTTTCTTTTTATATTTTTCATCATTTTAGTTCTTGACTTTTGGATTGTTGGCACAATGCCAGGACTGAATTGTTTGCAAGCGATGTAATTTGAACACTTGATAAGGACCGAAAGTTACGGTCGAAACGTCGTGAGATAATTAAAGAATTTTTATATTGCTAGTCAGTGTCAATTATTACTACTCCTGTTTATCAGAAAAATATGTTTATCATCATCCAAAACACTTATATTGCATTAGAAATTACACCACAACTCAAAATGTCACCAAGTTTCGTTGACAACACTGGTACATAAAGACACATTCACAGTAGGAAAGGCAAGTTTCTACGATAGATTTAAATTGGCAAAAAGTCTAGTGTCGAGTTTGCCCCGGTCTCCCTTACTATTATTAAAAAATACATAAAGGTAATTTTGTTCTTTCTATTATAAATATTATAGATAAATGTTATTCCACACAATAGTAAAATTAAATTATAAAGTGAAATGTTAAAATTAATAATAAAATTAATGATAAAATATAAAACTATCTATTTCAATAATAAAATAGAAAGTGAAACCTTTGCCATTTATAATTTATTGTTTTATAATAATTGTATCTTAAATGATTGTTCATAGATAATAGTAAGAGTTCATAAAGAGGAAGAGTCTTTGGACACTCCATTACTCGCTCATCCACGATATTATTGCCTAGAACATAAATGCTACATTATTTTGGGAGGATTTGGGTTAGAGCTAGCAGATTGGTTGACTCTTCGAGGTGCGAAAAATTTGGTTTTGACATCACGAACCGGGATTAGAACAGGTTATCAGCAATCGAGAGTAAAACTGTGGCGATCTTACGGTGTGGATGTACAGATTGTTACAGTCAATGATACTTTGAATCATGAAGACTGTGAATCTATATTAAAATTTGCTGAGGAAAAAGCACCAGTGGATGCTATATTTAATCTTGCAGTTGTTTTAAAAGATTGTATATTTCAAAATCAATCGACGTATACGTTCGAGGATTCATTCAAATCAAAAGCATGGATGACGAAGAAAATGGACAAATTGTCGAGAACAATATGTCCACAACTTCGACATTTTGTCGTTTTTTCCTCCGTCTCATGTGGAAAAGGAAATGCAGGCCAGACAAATTATGAGATGGCTAATTCCGTAATGGAAAGAATATGCGAAAATAGGATGGAAGAAGGATTACATGGTTTAGCAATACAATGGGGTGCTGTTGGCGATGTTGGACTCGTTGCAGATATGCAAGAAGACAACAAAGAACTTATTATTGGAGGTACATTGCAACAACAAATATCCTCTTGTTTGGATACGTTGGAGATATTTTTGCTCCAAGACCACCCTGTCGTAAGCAGTATGGTTGTTGCTGAAAAAGCAAAAATTGATGGATCAATGAATATTTATGAAACAGTTGCTCACATCATGGGTAAGCAATTTTAAACAAAACTAATATAAAAGAATATCTAAAATATTTACTATTATTATCACAGAGTGAGTTTTGGATACTGTATAGCTACAGTCTCTTACATACTGTATACAGGGTAACAGAAATGTGGGCTGCTACTTTAGGGGTATATTCTACTCGTCGAAATAAGCAAAAAAAGTTTATATAAACGTATGTCAAAAAATGCATCGTTACAGTTATGTTCAAAGGACGCGAAGGATGGTTCATCAGTGGTTCCCTGATGTTCTCATGTTTTCTCACGTTTCTCTGTAATATTGCGTGTACATTGCGAAATGTGTCTGCAATTCTGCTGCAAGATACAGAGTGATACAAAAGATTACTGTCAAACTTGAGAAGTGCATAGAGGAGTCAAGATAGAACAACTTTCGATTAGGAACCATATTTGTTCTCCAAAGTAATTCTCAGTCAGTACAGGCATTTAAATGTATAAAACTCGGATAATATACCAATGAAATAATTGTAATTTGCTACTTTTACATTAGCTTTATTTTGTTTTTACTAAAGTTTTTTTTAAGGATTTTAATCAAAAGTTGTTCTATTTTGACCCCTTTATACGCTCCTTAAGGGGACTGGTTAGGTTTAAACTGCCAAAAATGGGGTAAAATTCAAATGTCGTTCGTGAACAAACAAATAAACATACATAAAATTTGTTAAGCATGTTATTAGTGCTTTTTTAACGAACTAAATGAGACGTAAAAGTCCCAAAAATATAAATAATTAACTCTCAGTTACCTCACCTGGGTCTGAGAGACCCTGCACATTGTTAAAACGTGCAGGGTCTTTAAAACGTTTATAAAACCCTTGTATCTTTTTTTAGTCAGTACTACGTCAACTTGAAAAAAAGCAATCTTTTTCGCTTTTTCAGAAAAACACGTCTTTCTTTTTTTTTTAAATAACATTTACATTTTTTAACTTGGAATAATCTAACTTGCACAGTCTTGTAGATTGTCTTTAAAAGACGCATCGATTAAAAAAAAGACTTCAAATTGATGCATTTGTCTTAAAGATACAAGTTAGAAAAAACGGCAGGAGTCTCTCAGACCCTGGTGAGGTAATATCGGGGTGTAAAAACGTAAGTTAAGGGTGATATTGATGCTTGAAGGCGACCGCGCGATTTGCGCACTGCTCTGTTTTTGCTACGATTCCTGGTGAACGAGTTGGAATTTTACAATTTTTTTTGTGCCATTTTCTTCGTGAGATCCCTCTCTATAGACTGAACCTAAAGTCTAAAAGATTACGTCAAGATTACAACAATGGCAGCCAAAAAAAGATTCGAAAAATTTAAGTTATTTGTTATTAAAACAGTTACAAAAAATTAATTTTTGTGCGCTAAAATAGGTTCAGTTTACAAAAAAATTTGCTATTTTTATTTACAAAAAAAAATCAAGTCGATATCTGCAGCCGTTCATGAGTTATCGTGGCAAAACTAGCAAAAAATTCTATTTCGAGAAAAACACGGTTAAAGTTTAGAATAACGCGGTCAGCTCACATTTTTAACTTTTCTGAGCTCAATTTTGTGAATTTCTCAAAAACCCGAACTGGGAAAAGTTCCTAAAAAATCACACTATCAGAATATGTAAAAAAACAAAAACAAATTTTTCGAAATTTCAAACCGTTCCCCTTAAGTTTGGCAGTAACTTTTTGAATCACTTTGTATATGTTGTGCGCGTACAGCCACGCGTTTGACCGAAAAAATCCGCTTTTTCAGTCGGTGACCTATCCAAGTAGTAACAGCGTTCAACGTTGCTTGATATCGATGATCGAACGGACTAGTTACGGCATTATCGCCAATTGCCATGTACATTATTCTGCAAAGTGCTTCAGCCAAAGTATGTCTTATTATTAGATTAAATTCAAAAAACAAACATATTGATATGTATACCCCTATAACATTTTCTGCAATTGCAAATGTCGGCAACAAATTATGTTTACCGAAAGGCCGCAATGAGAAACATAACTTTGTTATTGTCAATTCTGTTAGCACACTTCCGTCAATGTGCAACAACCTTTGTTGGCAAAATGGCAGAATGGCAGCTAACAGCAAGCAGATACCGAACATATTGTTAGCAAATTGATGGCAAATGCCAAGCTGTTTAGTTATTGCAAACAGTGTCAGCAAACATCTCGCAAAAATATAACAATGTATGTTGACGACAGATAACTCGGACAAGCGAGCAGGTCTGTTGAACGCATTGACGACAGATTCACGACGAATATTAAACAACAAAACAGCTTTGCTATTACAAAAGTGTCAGTATTCGTCACGCAAGAATGCAACAGCATCTGTTATGCCGTAAATTTTTTGTTATTTGTTGGGACAGATTTGGTCAATGTTTGAAGTAAATCTGTTGACATGTTTGGCGACAGACTTGCTTTTTGTATGGCGTAAATCTTTCGTCAACACAATGCTCTCTCAGATACTTTTATCTTGCCAACATATTGCTAACAAGTAAGGTCATTTTCAAATTAAAAGAATATACAAATGTCGGATTATTCAATAGATGGCATCCGATAGAATTCGTTTTTTTGTGAGAAAAGTACGATGAACGATGGTATCCCTGCTGAAAAAGCTTGATTAAAAATCCAGTTAATATCATATTAATTTTAATAAGATTCTAAAGACTTTATGACATTCCGTTGACCTAGTCAAAATAATCAAAAAAGAAACCATTAGATATAAACAGATTTAATCAAACAGTCAGAATAAGCTGGTATTAATAAGTTATAAGAAAAAATTTCTAACTAAATTTTAATAATTTGTATCATTTTAAATAGCATCTGTTTTCTACTGGTTTTTATTACAAATTTCGAAAAATAATCTATAAGTCTCTATTTATTTTATTTGGAAATAATATCTACTGTATTTTAAAAGAAATTTAAAAGTATTCCCGATAGACTATTCTATATGTTTCTTAAGGTTTTAATAGGGACTTGTTCCTATTGGAATTAAATAAAAATTTTCAAATAAATGTTCAACATATTTCGATTGGTATTAACAGGAACATGTATCTATTAGTATTTATCAGAAATTTACAATAGAGTGTTTTATAGATTTCTATAGGTATTAATAGGTAATACTTCTATAAGTATTAATAGATGTCCAATGGGATTTATTGGGAATTCGCAATAACGTGGTCTATAGATTCCTGAATGTTTTAACGGGAACAATTACAAACGGGATGTTTAGGGAGTTTTACAAAGATTTCCCAATAGACTGTTCTATACATTTCTATTGATTTTAAAAGGAACTGACGTCTTGGTGGTTTTTAATGGAAATTCCCAATAAATTGTTTTATAGGTTTTTTTTTTTAGGTTTTAATGGGAACTTGTCTGTATTGGTGTTAAATAGAAATTCTCAATAAATATTCTATATATTTTGAATAGTATTACCAGGAACATATATCTATTAGTATTTATCAGGAATTTACAATATATAGGGTGTTTTATAGATTTCAATAGGTATTAATAGGTACTTATAGATATTAATAGGTAATACTTCTATAAGTACAAATAGGTGTCTAATGTGGGATTTACTGGGAACTCACAATAACGCAGGTCTATAAATTTCCAAATGTTTTAACGGCAACCATAATTTTGAAAAAATTTTACAGGGATTTTTTAATGAACTGTTCTATACATTTCTATAGGTTTTAAAAAGAACTAGTGTCTTGTGGTTTTCAATATAAATTAACAATAAACTATTCTATATGTTTTTTAAGGTTTTAATGGAAACTTGTTTCTATTGGGATTAAATAAGTATTTCCAATGAATGTTCTATATATTTCGAATAGTATTGACAAGAACATATATATATATATATATATATATATATATATATATTGAAAATGGTCTGACGACTGGCGCCACTCGACCTTCGTCCCGATCTACAAGAAGGGTTCCCCCACTGAATGCTCCAATTACGGGACAGTGGCTCTTATTCCCCACGCGAGCAAGATCCTTCTCCATGTCCTTCATAACAGATTAAAGTGCTTCCTGCTTCCGGAAATAGCCGAAAAGCAGTGTGGTTTCATTCCGGGGAAGGGCACGAGGGAGCAAATTCTGAATGTTCGCCAAATAGTGGAAAAAGCCAGGGAATTCAACGTCAGGGTCTTTATATGCTTTGTCGACTACACCAAGGCGTTCGACTCGGTGAAATGGACACCCCTCTGGACCATTCTGATGAAAATGGGAGTACCGCGGCATCTGGTGGCACTTGTGGGAGCCTATATGAGAACAGCACAGCGGCTGTTCGAGTCAACCGAACGACATCCAACGACTTCCAAACAAAGGCGGGCACGAGGCAGGGCTGTATTCTCTCACCCATACTCTTCAACATCTACACAGAGTACATAATGCGGCAGGTGCTTGAGGATTGGAAAGGAGGAGTTTCCGTCAGGGGGAGGAGAATCAGCAACCTGAGGTATGCCGACGACACGACGATTCTGGCTACGACCGCGCAAGAAATGGAAGCTATCATGGAGAGACTCGCGTTGATCAGCAGAGAGTATGGCCTAGAAATTAACCGAGATAAGACGAATATCATGATCATCGACAGACAGATGAATAACCAGCCCAATGTGAAGGAAGTGGCTGGATTTGAAGTCGTTGAAAAAATGGTCTATTTGGGCTAAATGATAACTAACAAAGGAGGATGTTCAGAGGAGATCAGGACGGTCTAAACGGCCATGGCCAGGGCAGCCACCATAAAATTGAGTAAAATATGGAAAGATAAAATCATCACAAAGAATACCAAACTGCAACTGGTGCACTCCCTCATCTTTCCCATCGCAACCTATTCAGCCGAGACATGGACCATCAAGCAGGCGGACAGGAGAAGGATAGAGGGGTTGGAGATGTGGGTGTTCCGGCGCATCCTCCGGATCTCTTGGACTGCACACCGGACCAATATATCGGTGCTGGAAGAACTGGGCATCAGAACAAGACTTCTCAAGCGAATTAAT